CATTTCAAAAATTAATTTAACGATTATTTTTTGGGCTACAATAATACTCTCTCAATTGATTTTCCCCATGCCATATTGTTGTAGGATATGTGCCTATAATCGAGGGATAATAGATGTTCAGTTTTCGAAAGAATTTTACCTGCAGTATAAAATAAATAAAATATGCTATACTTAAATTTTTACAAACATGGTCGATATGTCCGTGAAAATTTAGCCTGCTACCAAAATATGTACCGAGTAATTTACAAGAGTCAGAGAAAATAAGGTTAATATATATATATATATATATATATATCAGTTCTATATTAATTATGCGCAAATTCATTGGGTTCCTGATCATGAGAAAGTTTTGAGAGGGGTTGAAAATTTAAGGTTGGCGGTCAAAGTGTTACTCTCCTAAAAAATAACGCGTCGAGTTGATACGAATGTAACAGATATACGTCATATATCTCTTTCAAGCGAATGTATGAGCTTTTCTCTACTGTCGGACCCCTAGCCACTGCCTCCACCGATCTTGATGGCCGTTCGTCAACGATAATGCATCCGAGCGAGTTTTTTACTTCTCCGCTGTACATGTGGTTTACGTGGAAATACGCCATGGGATAAATTTTTTTTTTCATTTAAGTAGATTTAACGTTTGGTTAACAGTTAGACCATAATGTGATGAAGACCAAAACGCTACTTGTCTAGCTACGTGATACGGCCTTTTCAGAGATCGATGGTCATAGACCAGTATATGGCAAATATGTTGATGGGTAGAAAAATGGACGCTGGCGGGATTCGAGCCCGCATCTTTGCCATTCAGTGACAAGATATTTTTAGCAGTCGACACCGTGGATTGACACAGCTATAGACCAATTGGTGGTCGTCTCTCACAGAATGACAAGAATACAGGCTTAGGCCGCGAAGTGCCAATTTTTCCATTTGTCTTCATTGAGCTCAGTATGCAAAAATGCATAAGTTATGACGCAACTATGGACGTATGTTTACACATAAAGAGATAGCGATACTGCAAAGCCTTAACATATGTTATCAACACCTACAGCATAAAGCCTATCAAGAATATGAGCTTTTTCGGAAAATAAAAATTATCTATGTGGAAATATGTAATTTCAACATTTATCGCTATCTCCTTTGCTATAAAAACAGTAGAGAACAATGTACATAAGTTTCCTTATCTAGTATTTGAAACATAAAACTCATTGTATATAAGCTGGGTACAACGACCTACCATTAACTAAAGTGTATTTCGATAATTCTGTATACGACTTGACTATAAATAAGCTTTCTTCTTACAGTGCCGCAGGAGTTACGATTCAAATGGGTAGATATATTTCTAAAAATGCATTTTGTAATACTCATAAGAAGTCCTTAAAACATCATTTTTGTAATGATATGGTCACAAGCGGGCTAACTAAGCGCGGGGCAGTTGCCCCCTAGAGACCCTGAAAAATGTAGTGAAATGCAAATCAATAAAATTCGTAAGTACACTTAACGGATCGATCATCCTCGCACGTCAAAACTCGAACGAATTCACCATTTCCATTCCTAGTGTTCAAAAAAGTTATAATAAATATAATATCGTAATTTAATTTAATAATTTAAGTTTCATTTACCGTACAGCCAAGAGCTCATGAAAATTCACACATTGGGCATTATACTGTTCTTATCACAATCACCATAATACATGTGTAAAATTTGACTTTACCTACAATTTATACATTTCTCATTCATCGTATGAACTTGCCACGACCTTGGGGCTAACGCTGTCAACTGTATTTATTTATTTATTTATAGCTTTTATTGTCCATAAGATAATATAGGCCAAAATCTTAAATTAGAAATATTACATATACAAAAGCCTAACTTATAAAACTATCTAAGGCGTTCCCGCAAAACACATTTCAGCTCCGCAATAGAACATAAGAATATGTCACAAAACTTACAAATACTATTATAATTCAAACACATAACCCTTTCAGGTGATTTCAAAATCAAATTTGTGTTAGCACGACTGCAAAAGAAAGTAACATTACATCTTGAAACGGATCTTGCCGTTAAAAACTGTAGTTGTGATAACAATTCCTAAGAAACTATAGTTCCATGCAAGAGATTAAACAAAAAAATAACAGAACTGTGCTTCCTTCTCACATTCAAAGACGTCATTTTAAATCTGTCTAACAGAATTTGGTAGTCCGATCCACGTTGAGGGTAGACTCTATCGCACTTAAAAGCTAGATATTTAAGAAACTTTTTTTGAACATAATCTATCCTGTTTATGTAACAGTTATAGTAGAGATTCCATATTAGGGATGCATACTCTAACTTGGATCTTATATAAGCATAATATAAGGTTTTTAGTGCTCTCAAATCATTGATTAGCTTACAGTTTCTGATGAGAAAATCTAAGGCCCTATTAGCATTATTCACAATATTATCTATATGACAGTCGAAACTAAGCCTAACACCCAAATCACGAACAGTATCAACTCGAGTGACCTCAATTCCCCCAATACTGTATGCATATTTTATTTTACGTAGCTTTCGGGATAAAGTAACTACCTTGCATTTAGCAATATTCAAATGTAACCTGTTTAGCATACACCAATCTTCCAAACGGCAAAGTCGGGTTTGTAAATACGCACCATCTCTTTCACTATTAATATTAATATAGTTTCAAATCATCAGCAAATAACAGTTTACCATAATCAATATAATCACATACATCATTCACAAAGATCAAAAATAATAAGGGGCCCAGGTAGCAGTGAAAATGTGGAGAAGCATGAGTTTTTACAGAATTTTCAAACTTCGCATTCATTTTATAGTATTCGTTTGCAGTACCAATGCAAACAATAATAATTATAGACCCCAAACTCTGATCGAGCTTTTTATAAGCAGTGGTTTGAAAAAAGTAAACGCTCTAACTGTAACTCGAATGTTTTCAGGACTGGAGAGAACAAAAGTATCAAATACTTGAGCTTAATCACTAAACACAACTTTGGTTCAGCTCACATGTGTCTACCTAATGCGACTAAAGGTAAACTAAAGGCTTAATATTTATTCCTAACCACCGGAACGAACTGAATGCAAAAAACATCTTTTGACTGTGGACATTAACCCGAAAAGATATTGACTCCCAAATTAATAAGACATCTTTGAAACGGCCTATCCACTAAATGATTTTAGGAACGCCTATATCCAAAGTTAGGCATAGTTTGAAGTTTGGAAGCTTTCGCATCCAAATTTTCATTCTTTAGAATAATTGTAGTAAAACACTAACTTCATACTTATGTCAGTTTTATTCTATAACAAAATTGAGCTGCAACTAGAGATGACCGATATCGTTATTTTAGAATATTTGTGATATCTGATATCGTTACTTTTTGATATAAGTAATTTAAACCGTGGCGTGGTCATGACTTTCGAACAACGATGAGATTATGGGTATATTGATACCCTGGTCAAAATATGGCGTTAAAATCGCATGGAGACAACTACCAAAGCCTATAAGGCTGCAGGTCATAGTCGTCTTATGACTATATAAGATTATCGACCCTAGCCATATAGCACTGTATAGCACTCTTTTTTGAAGATGCTACGCCACTGCTACTTACAAAATATGCGGATTTATTATTGATAAATATTAATTAGTACAACGCTTTCAGTCTCACGGCGGCAACGAGCAGCTTCAGCAAAGTCAATAAACTCCTCTGGTTCCATGTAGAAAATGACTTTACATCCGAATTATAAATAAAGATAACATGAAAATTACTACCATTTCTACCGAATTAGAAGCGCAGTGTGAAAGGAAATTACGAATGATTTTATTTTCGAAAACAGATAATCCAGAACGAACCCATATATACATATGTATGACGTATACGAGGTCTAACCCAAAATTGATGCCGCAGGAATAATTCAGACATGATTCAGAATTGTTCTTACAATTATTGAAGAGGCGTTTAAACTTCAAAACCAATGCATAGTCGTAAGGGTTGTTATCAAGGCTGGCAAGATAGTAAGACGACTTGACTTGGTGAGAATCCTTTTGCAGGAAAAAAGAACATCAAAAATGTAATCAAAGCTCCACTATGAGAAACGTCCACACAAAAAGCGGCCATATGAATGAACAGAAACAAAGACTGCTTATATAAAACTAAAAAAATCCGTAAATAGGAATTTGAAAATACATATTGTTCTTTTCATGGTTTTTGGAGGGTGCGTTATCAATGCCATACGAAATAAGTAACAAAATCGATTAACTGAATCATGTGTGGAGATTAAGCTTCACTGCACACTTGGCAAACCAATCTTAAAGGCAGCTCTAACAAGGGGCTGAATTTTTTCCAACCACGTCTTCTAGTCTTTGTGAGAACTATAGAATTGGTATTAAGAAACTGATATCAGGAGTATCAGAACAGGTTGGTCTGAAATCTTATAATTATTATTATATGTTAATTATATAACAATTTGGAAGAGAATTTTTGATTTTCTGTCACCGGCCTTTTTTATAGAATTTATTCGATTCTTGTACAAAGATTAAAATATATCAAGCTGAAAATTTAGAATCGAAACGGTGGAGGTGTTATCACCTTGGTGTATTTTTAAACTCCACCTCTCATCAAATTCCTATGCGATGTAACAATTATCCAAATAATATAAAAAAGTGAATTTACAATATACGTAGATAAGTTAGATAGATAAGACAATTATATACATGTGAATGGCAGAATACAAAGCATACATTTTCATCTAAATAATAATATCACGATGATGAAGTGGCTAGAGGATGGACACATATATCATTTGTAGCACATTTTTTAATTTATTTTTGAAGTGTAGTGCCGATATTCAGTTGGCAGCTACTTAGGAAATACTCTTTCGTAGAGTGACGTAAGCTGGTATACGAAGTAAAAGCATCCACCATTTATTTAATACAATAAAATATGCAATATTTAAAATATTATAGTTTTGCTTACTCTACTTTTGGAAATAACCTCGTATGAAACATTCTGTATTGATCACATTATGATTATCATGTAACGCGTATGTAGAGGGCGTCATATTTTACATTCGTTTTCATTTCCAGTGTTCCAGTACAACCTATTTCAGATATTGACGACCGCGTTGGAGGACGTTGCTCCGTGGATCGCCTATATTGCAATGTACAATGCAGTCATACGCGTGTACGAAAGATCTATTACCTTTATTATGGTAATATGCAGATCAGGAAAGTGTAAAGCTAGACATTATTGCATTGGTAAGCAAAATGAAAACGGGAGAAGCTTGTTGATATAAAACGGATATCTAATTAAGAATTTCTTATATCCTCCGTTGCCGATCATTTATTCCACTTGCTGGCTATCCAGAAAAGCTCCGCATTGCTTATCAGCATTGATCAACGTATTCTACCTGAAGATAGCCAACCATATACTGTATTCCGACGTCTAAAAAGAGATTTGAAAGATACTAGCACCATCTGTGAGACAGAGTAAAACATAAAAGTGAATTTAGGAATCTGAATTGAAAAGAGTTATAGTGTTTGGTTTGGCTAGTGTCTCACAGATCGCGCTAGGATATTCACGCTTGTTTTGGTGGCTCGTTAATGCCTGGAAAAGACGTGAAACTTCGAGGTCAAGCTACGGAGCGCTCTCGAATCTCAATGCCTGCCCGATGGTTTTCATATCTGAAAGTCACTTGTAGTATGAGGAACCCGTGTTATCGATTGCAGGTGAGGGTTGGTAGGGACGTCCATGGTGATATCTTTAACACTACGTCTGCCTTAGTGTTGAGCGTAAGCGGTGGAAGGTGGCAGACTTGTATTTGAGATATTTCCTTCGTCCTGCTTGGCCAATGTTCTAATCTTCACATCGAGATATTTTTTTGAATCATGAACAGTTCTCCTGTATCTGTGTCTGTTTTTTCCTGTTCTCAGCAATTTGTTTTTTGAAGAAAACTCTGTTATTGCCGAACAGAGAGCCGACAGATACTTGTTAACTTGTTAACAAAACAAATATCTCTCTAAATAAACAAGAGAAAAAATCTGGGCTTTTCCTAGTCAGCATGATCGTAAGACAATTTTTGTGGCATGGGTAAATTTCCATATCATTACCTGTTTGCAACTTGATTTGTACAACGCTATGGATCGATATAGTTCAGGATCAATGTGTATCAAAACCGTAGAAGATAAAGCACAAAGCCAAGCATTAACACTGAAATACTTCCTTGTTTTTTGAAGCAAGTAACACTATGTTGCTTTTTCCCTTTTCTTCTCCGTCAATGTTTTACTAATCAGTCACCCAAGCGCGTGAACTATGTCCGATCGACTGTCATCGAATCGGAAAGATCAATGTGAATGAGATCTAGTGAATGCGATGGAAGAACAAAGGCGAGCATCGACATTCCGATCTCAGGTCAGATCCGGTGGTAATGGTTGGTGGCTGGTGGCCTGTTTTGGTACGACCGTTGCCATTATGATCATCACTGGAGCCAGCCGGGCGGCCTTGAAGGACCATACACAATCTCAACAACGCAACGGGAGGATCTTCTTCTTCGGTTTGCTGCCCTGTTGCCAGGTGTGTAAGCTTTGAATGCAAGATGCAGGGGGTTTGAACGAATTTCTCGTTTTACATCCAAACCATGAATCGACCAAAGCGTAAAAATACAGAGACATAATCATCCAAACTTCTTCAATAATGGCCAATCAGTTGTAGGAGAGCCACGTGCTCGTTTGGCCACAAGACAACATCATATGTTTTCTTAAAAAAAAATATTTCACTTACACAGTCAAAGTATCACAAAACATCATGCCCTTTAACGTAAGAGGGGAAGGGAAGCAAGGTCGAAAAGTTTTTCTGAACTTTATATCTTTGTCATTAAATGCTATGTCGGGTCCTAGGCAAGAAGCGAGTGCCCCCCTGTTGATTTACCATTCTCAGTTATTCCTTTTACCACAGTTATATCTGTCTATGATTGTTCATTCGGTATAATAATAATAATAATAATAATAATAATAATAATAATAATAATAACGCCTTTATTTGTTGTACAGGTGAGGGACAAAGATAGCGAAGTTTAGCCTAGGCTACTCTTACACTTAACTATCTTTGTCAGTACATTCAGAGCACGATGTAATGTGCGTTGCCTAGGATGTTATAAAAAAAAATTATAGTTATAACTAAACTATACTATAAACTAAAATACACAACTATAGACAGTATGTACATGGATACATATATACACACATATATTATATATATATATACACATACATACATCTACATACACACATATACGTATACACCTATACACACCTATACTATTTAGATACATATATACATAAGAAAAGATACTGCACCCATATCAGGTAAGGGTAAATACAAATTGTTTTATTTGTTTACGGAAATTGGCAGGAGACACTTCCTTGTATTTACCTGGTAAAGCATTGTAAAGTATGGCAGCATTATACGAAAAACAACGCTTGAAAAGTGTCATAGAGTGAGGCGGTATTCTGATTATTTTACGGTCTCTTATGCTCCTGCTATGAACTTCATGACTAAATATAATCTTACGTATGAATCTTGTATAGATCTATGTGGTGTCTACACATAAGACTATTATTGTGGATAAGCACGTTTATATGATCTATTTCTAGCTGATGGAGAAAGAGACTAAGCCCAATTACAAAACGAAAATTAATATCTCGGTTATCTGAAGGAAAATTTGCTTTTTGTTGCCTGGCCTACACGCTCTGTAAAGTGCCAACTTCGAGGACACCCTGTATATGGAAGTCGACAGTCATCGTTTTGTTAGAAGATCTGGATATCACAGTCCCTGACTGCCCAAACAAAAGTCCTTCTGGGCCCAAAAGCTATGGGTTAGATCGTATAGTGTTTTGCAATTATGGTGAATGTACCCGCCATAGTATTTAAGAGTTCTGAGACTGAGAACCACCTGCCATGAAAGCTTGCGTATAGGCAAACATTTCACAAGCCGGATAATTAATTTAAAATTGTTGTAGTGTTTAAGATTAATATTACGAATTATGATCTTTTCACTGGATACATTTGGCTTCACCCGAAAACGTAATGATCGCTGGTAAATAATAATTACAATTCTATTCTGTCTATATGTATTGCATTATCTCAGTTTGAATTTCTACTTCGGAATATCTGAAAACTGTTGAAAAACGAATGACACAAGTACATTTTCTCATGTATCAACGCCTTCCTCCATAGTCAGTGAAAATTGAAAAACGTTTATTAACGTTAACAAAAGAAAAGCACACCCAACCAGCATTTACATCCTTACTCCCCTTTAAAATGGTCAACTCCTACTGGCTGTCTGCTACATTCAGTAATTTCAGTTTGACAACAACAACTAGATATTCCAAAGCACTTGCAATATTGTCATAATCAGTTGTAGTTTGAAAAAGACCAAGAAACGTCAGTAATAAAAAGTAATTCAAACATAATGTGCTTATATGTATTTAGCAGTCAGACAATAAGTATCAGTATGAACACGTCAAGATACGTTTCAGGTGTTAGGTTAGCCATTAGTAATCTATAGCACATCATACGAAAAGACAAGAATGACAAACTTGTTACATCGTACAAACTCGATGATCTATTTAGGACTAGGATTACTGAACATGGATCAATAAGTTAACCCTTCAAATCCCAAGATTGCCTAGAGGGGGTCCAATCAAATGAAAGAAAGCATCAATTTGCTGAGAAAAAATTGATATAACCTCCTTGATCTGATAGAAACATGAATAACGTGGTTTGAAGTTATTCATGTTCTTTTAAATCTGGTTTCTATTTTTGCTTACCATAGAAACGAAAAGGTAAGATTCGTATTCATATCACGATTCGTTTTTTGCACATATTTTTGACCAAATAATCAATTTTTTAAATATTGTAGGGAGTAATTATACAGGGTGTCCGCAAAGTTGGGGTTTTCCTTTTCAGAAACAACTACCCTTGAAATAACAAAGGTAATGTGTAGTGAAACGAGGGCGACCAAGTAAAACAAAATAAAGGAAAAAGTACTCACTCTCCAGTTGACGAGAAGGGCTAAGTACGTCGCCGCCCGAAATCATACCGCTCCAACAGAAAATGAAATCCCACGAACGGAGGTAACAAATATGACGGCGTTGCCGCGTTTTCAGTTTTTAGGTAAACGTACTTTATAGGTATTGTTCGAAGTTATCGCCGTTTGATTCAAAAACACAGGTGCGTGCACGACGTAGCCAAGCATCGGTGCAGGCTTTGAGAATGGAGTCCCTCCCCCGAATGAAAGCACCAGCTTGTTCAATTCTGAGACGAAGTTCGTCAACCGTATGCACTTCAGTTTTGTACCCTAAGCGTTTCATTTCTACCCAAAGAAAAAAATCACATGGTGTTAAGTCTGGAGATCGCGGTGGCCACGCTACGGGTCCATTACGTCCGATCCACCTATTCGGAAACAATTCATTCAAAAACTCACGCACTTCGCGTCTAAAATGGGGCGGTGCACCATCGTGCAGAAACAACATTGATTGTCTTACACTTAATGGCACATCTTCTAACAAGGAAGGCAAAATGTTGCGTAAAAAGTCTAGGTATTGCATCCCGTCCAATCGATTTGGGAGAATAAATGGACCAATGAGCATACCGTTCACCATGCCAGCCCAAACATTCACCGAAAATGTTTGTTGAAAATGTGCCCGACGGACAGCGTGCGGATTTTCTACTGACCAAACATGAGTGTTGCGAAATTTATTCACCCCATTACGCGTGAACGTAGATTCGTTTGTCACCAATATACACTTCAAAAAGTTCGGATTATTGTCATGTTGATGCAACAACCACTCACAAAACCGCACTCTTGCTGGAAAATCGTCAGGTTGAAGGGCTTGTACACGTTGGACGTGAAACGGATACAGCCCCTCTTCACGCAGCGTTTGCCACACTTTAGTTTTTGATACTTGCACTTCTCTAGCCACGTCTCTAGTGCTTGTTGAGGGATTCTCGTCTACGCGATTACCTCTACACGCGTGACCGTAACCGTCGGTTGAAGATTGC